CCAATAAGAACATTTGGAACATTGAATAGTGCACCTCTGTACAGTAAATTGAAAAGTTGGCATCTGGAAAAATAACATCCATGTCACAAAGAGAGCTGGAAGGAAGTTCCTCTGTGCTGTAAGGCATCTTTTAAATTAGCTGAATGGATGGAAAAATGATGGGAAAAGTACAAAAGAATTTTTCTTGCAAAGATCTTAGGTTGGAAACATCTGTTTCTTGCAAATAAGCCTTATAAAAATTGATTTTCCTGAAATTTATTTTGGAATTTTATCCTGTAATGTTCCCAGGTTGAGTCAGTGTCCTCATGTTGGGTCTTTTTTATGATTTTTATGCTAAAAATTAAGTGTCCCCATGATGAATTGTCCCCATGTCAAGGCGTCCGCATGTGGGGGTCTCACTGTACTTTGACCGTGTCATATGAAAAATGTAGCAGAGCTGTATTGTGTAGTTGTTTATGCTTTATGTACAATTGTGTGCATTCAAAGAAATAAAGGTGTTCACCTCTTGATCATTTGAGCAAATAAATCATAATAAATAGAGATGCAACAGTCATGTGAAATCTTTTTAATGCCTCAGTTGAAAAAAAAAACTCATTTGGAACACAACAGCAAGTCTCTCACTATACCCCAGGAGAGAAAGCTGGGCTGGCAATAAATTAAAAGAAGTGTATATACATATGTATAGAAAGGAGCAATTAACAAAGTTTTGCTTTCTGTTGATGGCAAAACAGCACTTGGCTTTCATATCAGGCCCTGGGGGTTTCTTGGTCTGGAATGTTGTCTCCTTGGGGCTGGTGGGAGACCAATAGGCCCTGCAGCTGCCACATCCTTGTTGGAGACCTCATTTGGCACTCTGCTATCTTTGTCCACAATCAGATAGTCTGCCTTTTCTGGGTCTTGAATATAATATCTGCAAGCACACACACACACACATGGATGATTTTTACAAGTGCAGTGAAATTTTGGCTGATGAATGCTCCTGTTTTGACATATTTACCAGATGGTGCACTTGTATGTTAGGAGGTTCCTGCATCAGCTTAAATTGCAAACAGGGATTTAGCTCGCCAATTTTTTTTTCAAATACTGTATATAAAATTTTCTCAGAAGATTCTCTTGAAACATCCCTGCTGATAAATATTATGCTGGATGCCCATTTTTTAAACAATGGCCACTGTATTTAAATTCTCAACTCACCAATCTGCAATACTGTTTCATTTTCCATTTTATTGAAACAATTTTACTTTGCTGAGTAATTTATTGATAATTCTCAATCTGCTTTTGTTTCATAACAGTGTTCTGATTTCAGATATGTTCTCAAAGGATTCTGCAACTAAATATGGCACTGCACAGATTATGTCTCCCAATTTCTATTTTTTTACAGGCACCAGGTCAAAAGTTTCATGTGCAACACCTATATTACTACAATTAGTAGTTATTTATTATTTATTAGTAGTTATTAGTATTTATTTTATATTTTAGAAAGAGAATTCCTGGGAGTTCAGGCCTTGGGAGAAATTTCCAAGATGAACTTCCTTGATTTCATGGACACTTTCAAGGCTGTGGAACAAAAAATAAAATTTCTCCTGTATTTTCCTAAGTGAAAACGGCATTCAGCTAATACCTACTGTATTCAGCTAACAAAGCTTCTTCAGGAGAAGATCAAGTTTGTAAGCCAAGACAAAACTATATAGTTTTGGGAAAATGTGGCCTAGACATATACAGTACATTCAATATTTAAGTGTGAAATTAATCTTGTTACAACACTTCAAACATTCCATATTTGTTTTTCAAATTTTAAATATAACCACTCATTCCAAACCAGATTATCTTCTGAATTTAAATTTAATTTGATGAAAATTTGTAGCAGGAAACAATATTTTGACTTTCAGATACAGCATTTGAATCTAAAATTATTTAAAAAATGAGTGCTGATACTTTTCATGCATCTGCATGAGATTATTCAAAGGAAACTTACCTGAGAATTCCAAGGTTCTTGTAAAGAAGCCTTGAATTACCGTCCAATTGAGGCTCATGATGTGTCAAGTCCTTGTAGATATCATTGGGATTTGGGTCACCCACAGGAGGCTTGTTACTGCAATTACACAAATTCGAATTTAGATCGAAAGGGGTTCAGAAAAGCCAGCACTTTGATCACAAAGTAGATCGAGTTCCCCTCCCCAGGGGTGAGTAGGTTGGAACCCAGTTTGCTCATCAGGTCAACACACTTCTTGAGTGCCTCACACTTTCATGCCCCAAGGGGAAATATTCAGAACCTTCACGCACGCATCAATCAATGTCATATATGGTGCTCCATATTCTCATTGATCTCACTCACTAATATTGAGGTGCTGCTGATGAAAACACTGCTCCCACAAGGATGGACAGACATGCTGACAGGTACACTGATGATTTCTGAGGATTTAAAAAAAAAAAGGTTTTCACAATCTTTCAACAACAAAAGTTGAAAAAAAATCTTACTTGGTTCATTTTGTTTTCAGGCGTTTCTCAAGAGATCAAATCACAGAAAACTTCTAATGCCCCCTATATTTTGTTCAAAAATTGTGAAAGAAAAAAAAGACACGTATGAATGTCAAATAATGAACTTGATCACCTCACATCACCCATCAGCTCTTGACCAGGAATGAGTCCAGGGGTTGACCAGGAGCCCAGTATTTATTTCCCTCCAACCACAGGGAGGCGGAAGCAGGTTGAACTTGAACTTGGGCATATATGTTTCCTGGTGTAGCCAAAAGGAAAATGACAGATGATTTTTTTGTTTCCTTTTTCTGGGATGCAATGACTCCCGGAAATTTCCAGTGATGCAACTTCTCAATTAGAAATTATTGGTCGTAGTTCTCAGTAATGAAAATTTATATCTCAACAAATAACAACCGACTCTCCTTGATATGATTTTTTTTCCTTCTTGGAAAGAGACCTTAGGAAATTTTCCGAACCTAATTTCTCATCATCATTCCAGCAACAGTTTCGCGGATAATTTTTCAGCTGCTGGATTCCAAAAAAAAAAAATTCTGCCGCATGAAACCAAAAATCGGAAAATATTTTCTGATGAAATCAATACATGTGCAAGAGTGCAACTCGTTCGATCGTTCATCTAAATTTAATATCTTTGTTCAATTCAAATTATGAATTGCAGAATCATTATGATCTCATTTTGAAGAAATAAATTCATTTCTTCAAAATGATTTCCGCCAAGAAAACAGTAATTATTGTTCTACATATGAGAAAACAATTATCGAAATAATTTAATAGTTCAATAATTAATAATTAAAAAACCTGTTTGATCGTTCATCTAAAATGCATATACAGTATCATCAAATTCAAATTATAAATTGCAGAATCATTAAAATATAATTTTGAACAAATGAATTCAGGTCTTCAAAATTATTTCCGCCCAAAAGAAATAATTATTGTTCTACATATATGAGAATAAAATTATCTGAATAGTTTAATAATTTAAAATTTAGCCTAAAATAATGTATAATACTTTGTTGAAAGTATTCCACATGATTTTTTAAAAGTAAAAGGATCCAAATAAATCAAATATGATTCATTGCTGTCATTTTCACGCGAAGGAAGCGAATTCTTAAAAAAATTCGCCTTTAAACACAATGAACTTCAGTCATCAAGATCATCTGAGATGAACTTTGACCATTAAAAAAAACTGTACTACTGTATTTATTTCGGAATTTTATTTAGGAAATTCGAGAAAGAAAAAAATCTGCCTTTTGAGCGAATAAATGAAATCATTTTCGACGAAAATAACTTCCTCGTGAATATCAGGAAACGATTTTAAATATAACCCTTGAAGTAGAAAAAAAAGGACCTGGTCAGAAAATTGAAAGCAAAGCCATTTGTAATCCAATGCCCGTAAAATACAGGTTATACGCAGGAACTGGCAGTTGAACCTTGAACTGCAACCGCATTTGATGCCCATGCAGAAGAAGGAAGTTTTAAACCCGGAAGGAAACGGAACTTACCCCCCAGGACATCCCAAAAGAATGAAACCTGAGCAACCGGAAAAAGAATGCTGTACATGGACGTAACGGTTTCAAGTCAGCTCGGAAGAAAAATTACTACACCGATTTGTAACAGGGCTTCGTTTTCCCTTGGACACTTCCTGGAACGGGACCAGAGCCCATCCGTGGAGAAACTCGACGAAACCTAGTGGACAAAGTCTACAACGTCTCTCTCATCGGTTAACTTAGCGTCACCTAGATGTCGCTTGATATGCCGCGCGAGCCTTGACACGGTTTTGTTCGTCATCTTGGCACATGTCCGCAGTAAACATGAAAATGAAACTACCGGAAGTTTTTTTTTTTTTTCATTTTTGTCAACAACTTCAACAGCGAAGTTTTCTTTTTTCATTTATTTTTAACCAGTTTGAAATTTTGTGGGAAAATGCTGCGAAGGTTGCATCTGGAGAGGCTCGGGTTGGCAGATCCGTGTGACAGGGACGACGCTGTCGACGATGATGCCACGGACAGTTCCAAGTCCAATGATGACGAGTTTGCGGAATCGGAAATGGCTATAATTCAGGCTCGGGTGAGGAGTGAGTTGGAGCGCACGTGCGAGGGCGACCCTGGGACAAATATTTACGGAGCTGTGAGTAAGAGGTTTACTTCTGAATTTCATAGGTGTCGCTCTCCAAGAGTATTGTTCAATTGCCTCCTCGAAATGGAAAATTTACAGTTTTTTTATTATGCGCGGCCTCAGTAACGCACCAATGGCCTACACGCAGAAATTTGGCGATTTGGACAGACCTTACTAGATAGATTTTCTAATTATCCAATCTGAACACTGCATTGCCAGATGCTTTCTCCGTGGGTTATTTTTTTTTTTATCCATGGTGCATTACAAATTTACATTACAGGTACTGTATTAGATAAATATGGATTCTCTCTGCAATGATTCTGTGTAGAACTATTTTTGCTGCAAAGAAAAATTTTGACCCCACAGGATTTTTCACTTAAACATTCTGTCTGCAGAATTTTTTTTAATGTTTTCTTGAATTTTATTGTTGTACAGTCCACCAGTATTTGTTAAAAAGGAGGGAAAACCACAGGCCTCAAGATTTATGAGTATTTTATCTACAGTCGAACCTCACTTAGTCAAACCTCTCTAAGTCAAATACCTCATCCATAGTATAAGTTGCAATATTTTTCAGTCCCTGTCTGAATTTCCTTCAAAGCAATGCATTGAAAACCTCCATAATTCAAATTTTTGAGTCCTTTAGGCTATTATTTTATTACGACAGGAAAGAAAAAAATCAATAAAAAATGGAATTTCATTTGCTTTGAAAATATGAGAGAGACTAAATTGGGAAAATGAAGCCAGCTGTCTCCAATAAGTTCAGTGCCCGCCAGTCAACTGTTTTTTAGAAGCAATTTCAGGCCTATAATATCCCCATGTACAAGTTGGTCCAATTCTTTAATGGTTCCCACAATGAAAATGCTTGATTCCATGATGAGACATGCATTTTATATAACCCAACCCTTGCCTAAGTTAAATTTTTGGTACTATCCTGTTATCTCAGTACTGCTGCACCTACTTTCCATGCCTTATTTTATATAACTGTTGAGTTTGGCGCACAAAGTACAATACTGTACATGTTGTCAGTAATCTAAATGACCAATTTAACCTGACCTAACCTAACTTCACCTAACCGCAAAAAAAATTTCTCCAGCTGGTACTTTCCTAGACTGCACTACCATCCAGACAAATCTTTAGGATGAGTTCATAATCACAACAACCTACCAGAAACTGTGAATTTCATTTTTCTGCATTCTGCTGAAACTAAAAGTTAGGTTAGGTCAGGTTATGTTAATAACCTAGGCTATGTTAATTATACATATTATGCATGTTATGTTAGGTTATGTTATGTTGATAACCTCAAAATCAGTTTCAGCAGAATGCAGAAAAATAAATTCAGTTTCTGGTGGGTTGTCATGATTATGAACTTGTCCTAAAGATTTGTCGGGATGGTAGTGCAGTCTAGGAAAGTGCCACTTGACCTATGGAGGTGAATAAAGATTTGTCTGGATGGTAGTCCTGTAGTTCCTTTTCTCTTCAACTAACGCGATTAACTAATTTTTCATTGCTCGAATACTGAATTCAAGAGACAAAGAAAAATGGGTACTGAGATAACAGGAAAGTACCTTTGCTGGTTCCTTGAAATTCGACCTACAGAGAGTTTCAATAAGTGTATTTAGAACATTCCACAACATTCCAGGTCATAGAGTCCATCGCCAGGTTCAGAGGGTTGCTCATGGCCCTGGACCTCCGTTGGGCAGACATGCTGGACAGACGTGGGTACACTGACAAGATCAACGTTGATGCCATGGTGCGAGGGTTTGGGATCCGGGCCAGCCACTTGTTGGACAATGTGAATGCCATGCGACAGAGCCGGAGAGCTGGCAACCTTGACACCTCGGAAGATGATTCCTTACACATGCCGGAAGATGGGTATGCGCCTCAGGGCAAGGCCCTGATAGTGCAGGAGATTAAGCTTGATGGCCCAGTTAAGAAGCCCGGGATGAATGTCATCAGCTCCACCAAAACCCTTCCTCCCAGGAATACCGGAATTTAGCATAATTTTATTTTATTCCGGAAGTTTTGCCGTTGTTTATTTTATTGATGCAGTGATAAGTTTTTTTTTATTCCTTGATGTGTTGGTTTTGGAAAATTGCTGGCTTACTTTTATTGGTATGCCTGAATTTTTTTTTATCTCCAGCGCTGAATAAGAGCTCTTTCTGAATGAATGCTTAAAGTAGCTTAATTTGTTCAGCAATAATGACGGAAATATTTCCTGAGTCCTGATATTATATAAGCCATTGAATATAGTATTTATACTGTACTCAAACATCATGTATATACACAAGCAACATATTATAATTTAAAAAAATGAATTTTAGAGACTTGATTCTGCTTTCTCTGAATAACTCAATTTGTTACTTTAATCAGTTCAAAAAATTTGACATGCAGAACAATCTAAGATGCATTCCATTCAAAATGCAATAATTAGAAGGAATAGCACGGAGTGTAGATTTACTAAAACTTTTCAGTTTCAATTCTACCCTCAACTAACTGTGTTACAGTTTGTGAATCCCACAGCAATTTATGTAATTTTGGAGAAGTGTTACAGTGAGAATATGAAAATCCATTTAGGAAATCAGGACAGTAACTTGAGATATGGGCACTTTTCTGTGATTTCTTTGAAAATTTAAAAAATGTATGTTTTTTTTCTTGTATTTCTTGGAAGAAATTAAGCTACTCAAATTTAAATCTGCTGAAAGTAAATTTAATTATAAAATTACCTTAATGGATAATAAAAAAAGCTATTTTGTGCTCATTTTTTCCATCATATGTGATCAGTATAGACAAACTTGTTCTTTTTCCTTGCTTCTTGGGCTCCTTATTATGATGCCAAAAGATCAGATTCTATGTGTTTTTCCCTTTTTAGAATCTGCATCTTGAAGTTTAGAACAAATTATGGCATCAAACTTTTTGAAGGAATTTCCTCAACTATTCATTTACAGGAGAACCCAGTAAAAACATTACCATTGACATATATTAGAAAATTAGGTCCAATGTGTGGATGTTCTGACTTCTGGAAAAGGTCCATGCAGCAATTGTTTCTGCATGTTGTGGTCTCACTGTATTTCCCCATGTTGATATTCTTTCAAAAGTGAAGTGGAAACGTGTGCAAGAGGTATTTTGGATGAGAAAAGGACAGTATGGGTTTAAAAAAATACTGATGAGCTGAGAAAACAGGGATTGTATTTCTGTTCCCTGTGCTCCAGAGAAATGGATTGGAGGCAACAACAAAGGTGTGTCTATATAACATAGAAGGTAGTTGTTCGTAACGTTGAGACAAACGTTTTGACGTTGTACATTAAACCTAAGAAGAACGTAAGTAGTCAGAACCGGGTCGAGGACGTCAAACATAACCTCAGGAAACATTTGCTGGCTATATACAAAAGTGTTTTATTGGTTTGTTGAATGAAGGTATCACTCAATTGTTTGAATGAATTTTCACCTGTTTGTCCATTGTTGGTCCAAAGTGCACTGCAAACCTTGCAAGACAGTCTGCAGTCTTTCAACATGTAGGCTGGGTTCTTGTCACATTCACCCTTTGAAGCCCACACTGGGCAATACTTGTTTTCATCTATGCATCCTCCTGTTGCATCTTCACATCAGATAAGTATCAACACACTTTTGGTCAATTTGTTTCAGAATACTTTTATGTTGAATCTAATTGAAACAAATATTTCTCAAGTAAGTTCTAGCTTAAAACATATTTTTGTCTTTTTGTTTTCCCTGTCCAAAAACTATATGATTTTATCTGAATTTATTTATAATAAAGCTGTTTCTGGAGTCAATGGCTTTCCAGCTACATGATATGACATTAAAGTTACTTACTGCAAATTCCACAAGTCTCCTGGCAGTTTTTCAGCATCCAAGCTGGATTCTTGGAGCACTCCCCACTTCTGCCCCACATGGCACAGGACTCGTGGTTGTTGGCACAAACATCAGCCTTTTTCCCTTGTTCTGTAAATCAGAATGTCAAACATGCAGTATACATAATTAGGTGTACATTTCATCAAGATATTTTAACATGAATTAAACTTACGCTCAGTTCCCTCACACTTGTAGTACTTCCTTATCCTCTCAATATCCCTCTGAAACGTGGGAAAAGTTAGTTCGATGTATGTTTATGATTTCAACTTTATCATCACTTACTGCACTAAGTGCTCTTCTTTGACCAATGACTGCATTGACATCTTTGGTTTGGATGGTGACTCCACTTGGTCCAGCTTTCTTTGAGTCCACAAATGAAGTTTTAGAGTAGTGCATGATTGATCCTGCAATAGAGAATTCAATAATTAATTCTGTGAGAATGGTTTGCATAAATTTTTTCAAGATGTAATTTACCATAATCATATGGAATTCCTTGAGTGTCCACATAGTTATCTGGGTACTTGTTGAAGTTGGTTTTGGCATCTGTGAACAGTTATTCAAGGGTTAACAGTTGATTATGGAACCAATGTGTTGCCTGTGATGCAAGACATTGTCAGAATGTGTGTACAGTATATGCATTGTGTCCTACCCCCTATCACTTTTTTTATACAGTCTTTCAAACATGTCTTGTGTCTATTAATGCAATTTCTGACAAAAAGTTTAAATACGAAGGTAATTTCAGTTTAATATTTTTTTCTGGAACAAATTAATTTTTTATGATGTAACCTTAAGGAAAATAGGGTTTCAAATTACGACGGCCCCATGTTATGA